ACCTGGCTTCTCCACCCACTCACCCGTCTATCCACACATCTGTCTGTCTGCCCATCCATTGACTCGTTCTTCTGTCTGGCACCGGTGCCGCCATCCGTCCATCTTGTCTATCCATCCATCCTCCTCAGTCTGTCTGTCCACTCATCCAACGATCCACCCTCTAGCCATCTGGATCATTTTCTGTCCTTCCACCCCGTCCATCCATCCGTCTGTCTGTCCATCTCTCGTCTGTCTACCCATCTACTGACGCGTCCCTCAGCCTTTCCAACCATCTATCTTTCCATCCCTCCACCTACTTGTCTATCTACCCATCCATCTATCCACCCATCCTATCTCTCCATCCCAACGCACGCCCCTCTCTCTGGCCACCCACTCAGCCACCCGTCCGTCCATCCATCCAACCCATTTGCCAGTCTAGCCAGCCATGGTTCCAGCCGTCTGTCCCTCTCCGAACACCCTTTGGAAGCTGACAAGGGGGAGATTCCAGCCCAGGGGGGAGAGACGTGTTTTCTTGCTCGAACGCGGGGAGGAGGGAAATCCCGTTACCTCTGGAAGCAGGAAACCCCTAAAGTGGGTGTCCCGGGTCACCGCGTGTGGGAGCCCCAAGGGGACCACGTCGCCGAAGCGCTGCACCTCGTGGATCACGGCGTTGGTGTAGGCCATGCGGCTCCGGTCCTCTACCGACGGGCTGCGGTGCCACCCGATCACCTGGTCGATCTCAGCGTGGACTTTGGCTGGGGGGAAACAAGCGGGGTGGGAAGCGGTTTCTGGGGGGGGGCAGGGCAGCCTGACATCTCGGCTGGTCACGCAGGCAGCAGGGACACGCTCGGTCTGGAGCTGGTGACCTCTGAGACCTGGCTGGCGAGTTCTACACCTGCCCTTTTAAAATATAGACAGTGGCTTGGATCCCGATCTCAGTGTGATGCGACCCCCCATAAGGCTTTATGGAATATGCTGATGAATGTCTCTATGACATAACTAGAAACTGTTTTATGCTACACATGCCATGTAACATCTCTCTGTAAAGGTTATGATCTATTGAATACATTCCTCCTGATTGTAGGCATGTATCGTTTTTGTCCTTGAAGTTAGGAATATTGGCTGTATACTTGCTTGATTTCTACTGAGAAAGGAATGTGAAATTAAATACCCAGTAAAGAACCACTTAAGCCAACAATCAACTCGAAGATGCCAATCCACATCGGGGCGTTCCCAGGAATGTGACTTGCCCACGTGACTCCAAAACTCCATCTTGGAGCTAGACTTTGCATAGGAGTGAGGAGGGGGTCTCCACCCGCA